GAGACCCGCAGAAGGGAGCCCTTGGGGAGAGCTCAGGCAGCCCCAGGCTCCCACTGCCCCAGCCCCTCCTGGCCACACCCCATGCCGGGCACCCCGGTCCTGTGGCTCACAGGGGCACTTGGTCTCTATCTCGACTTTTCTGAAAGTCAAAGTCATCCTCAGATCACAGGCTGAGTGGAACTCCTGGTAGCCCCTTATCCACCCAGCCTCAGGACCACAGGGAACTCACTCACCTCCTCCTCCTCCCAGGACCCCAGTCTTCTCTCCTGGGGTGCGCTGGTCCACTCTGGTCCTGCTGTGGCCACAGGAAGTCTGGAGCTTATGAAAGGCCTCTCCTCCATGGAAGTCACTGCCCCAGCCCACCCCCCGACCCACCCCTCGGCCTGCCTCTCTCTCCTCCCCCCCCTTTGCCCTCCACCCTTTCTGTCTGTTGCCCTGGGCATCTCTCCAAGAATGGGGACCACAGAGATCCCAGCATGAAGGACCCCACTGCACAGCAGGGCAGGGTCCCACCAGTGAGGAGGCAGGGGCTGCACAGCCCAACACCTTTACTCCTCACTCCCGACTCCCAGAGGCTCCATCCTGCAAGGAGGGGCTCACAGGGAAAGCCACTCAGATGCCAAGGCCACCACGTGTGGGTGCTGGATACTAGGGGCTCTGGCCACCCACTGTGGGGAGCAGGCTGCGGCAGCACCTGGACCCCTCCACCCATGTGGTAACCCTTCCCCTCCCCCAGTATGCCCTCCCAGCCCATCCTGAAGGCTCCCACCACCCAACCCACTTTGCAGACTGGTGCCAGTAACCAGAGCTTCAGCAGGCACCCAGGCCTGGAAAACAGGCCTCTGACCCCACAGGACCCGGGGCTGCTCCCAACTGGGACCTGGCCACACCCCTGCCCCATCCCTGCTGCAGCTCCGCCCACCACAGGCCCCACCCAGGCAGCACAGAGTCCCGCAGCGCCTGCAGCTGTAAAGGGCCGTCCTCTCTGGCGGCTGCAGACCTCCCTCCCCAGCACCACACCACAGCAGCCGGCGGGCAGCCCGTGCTCTGCTGGGCCATGGGTGTGTCAACATCCCCTGGAGCTGCTGCTGGGGCCCCTGAGTCCCCTTCTCTGAGCCCAGTACCCATTCCCTGGGGCTGGGGCATCACTGCCAGCCACTCACGGCTGTCCCTGCCCCAGGACTGCCTGGGAGGTTACAGATGCACCCCGGAGGCCCCTGCCCAATGACTGGGTGATGACACAAGAGTGGGCGTCCTGGCCCCACTACACAGCCTCGTGAGAAACTCTGTCCACAGCTCAAGGTGGATCCGGCCCAGGCATCTGCCTCCCCAGTAGACCCCTTAGTGCACCAAAATGCCTGTCCCCGCCTCTGCCTTTAAGGACCCCAGCCTAATACCACGCGTTGCACGGGTGCTTCAGGGCCACTGGAGGCAGCTGTCAGCCTTGTGAGCCCAGTCCCCAAGCCCATGCCTCCTCTGCACTCAGGAGTGTGAGAGGGCCAGTCTCCTCGAGGCCTCCCGACCCTGCGTTGCCTGAGGCCTGAGGGAGGATGAGCCTGCCTCTCCCGGCCCGCCTGCTGCTCTAGTAGCTGAAGAGAAACCGCTTGGCCTGGCCTGGGCTCAGCCTCCAGAGGCAAGAGGAGCTGGAGGTGCGCGGTGGGTGGGAGGCCAGCGCTGGCACAGCAGCCACAGAGGAAGAGGCGACACCTGCTGGAGGGAAAGGCCTGGGTTGGATGCTGCAGAGGAGAGGGCCGACCTCTCCTGCATCTCCCTGGATCCCTGGGCCACACAGATTCGGATTCAGGATACACCTCTTCATGAGCACCTCCTTTTCCCTGAGATGAAGTCTCACTGTTGTTGCCTGGGCTGGAGTACAATGCCGCAATCTCGGCCCCCTGCAACCTCTGCCTCCCGGATTCCAGCAATTCCCCTGCCTCAGCCTCTCGAGCAGCTGAGATTACAGACACCCACCACCACACCCAGCTAATTTTTGTGTTTTTAGTAGAGATGGGGTTTCACCATGTTGGCCAGGCTGGTCTCAAACTCCCGACCTCAGGTGATCCACCCACCTCGGCCTCCCACAGTGCTGGGATAAAAGGCGTGAGCCGCTGCGCCCAGCCCATCGCCACTTCTTGCACAGCCCATCCATCAACCAGCTGTCCCTGCAGCAGCCTGGTAGATGGTTCAGGTCGTCGCAGTGATGGGCTCCCAGGGAGCCAGAGGTGCCTGCAGTCCTGGCCGCGGCCAGCAGAAGGCACCCAGCCTGGCAGATGGGCACTAGGCACGGGGGCAGGAGTGCAGCCCCGGCTGACAGGCTCCTGGGAACACGTGTGTGCACCCTCATCCCACACATGCAAGCCAGCGTCAGAGTCATCACAGACCAGGCAGTCAGGCACTCAGCACTCTTGGCTCACGAAACGTGAGCTCCACAAGGGCAGACCCGTCTGCCTTTTCACCCCGCCCCGTAGCACCCCTCAGACCTCTTGGCAGTGATCCAGCTCAGGCAGGGCAGGAGAGCTGCCTAGGTCATGACTGACAAAGGGACAGGACAGAACCTGAGTCAACCACTGTCCTCTCCAGGGTACTGTGGCCTCACTGAGGCCCAACCCCACAGGAACCCCCTGCATGCTTATGGCTAGTCACACAACACCTGGTTCCACGTGGGGATCCCAGGCCCAGAGGTCCCAGAATTGAGGACATGGCCCCAGTGGCCTCCTGTGCAGCCTCCAGCCCCGCAGAAGCCTCGGTGCTCTGGGGGCTGACCCCCAATCCCCGCCCGACTGCGTGGGCTGGGTCAAAACAGAGCAGGGCCAGCCCCCACGGCCGCCAGCCTCACCCAGCCCCTCTGTCAGCCGCCAGCCTCACCCAGCCCCTCTGTTGGCCGCCAGCCTCACCCAGCCCCTCTGTGGGCCGCCAGCCTCACCCAGCCCCTCTGTCGGCCGCCAGCCTCAACCAGCCCCGTCGGCCAGCGATGGAGGCTCACGGGGCAGGGATTGCCCCCGGGAAGCTCAACAGGGGGACAGCAACGCCAGTGGGCGCGATGAGTGGGTGGCCAGGGAAGCCCAGTGCACTCAGAAGTTTCTGGAAGGGCAGAAGTTGGCCTTGAGTGTCCACTGGGTCAGGCCAGTGTCTGGGGACAGAGAGCAGAAGCTGGCTCAAGGGAAGGGAGAGGTGGTAGAAGGTGCCCAGCGTTGTCAGCCTGAACTCCTGGAGCCACGGTGGGGGTGGAACTGCATGCTGGAGGCCAGGGACGGTGCAGCATCACTGCCCACGCCCCACCAAGCTGGCCAGAGGCCGAGACCAGGCTTCAGCCAAGAACAGACTCCAGGCCCACAAAGCCTGGGCTGGGACCTGCCACTTTCATCTTCCTCATCCAGCAGTTCTGGCCTCAGCCCACCTGCCCTAAAGTGCTGCCCCAGAGCAGAACGACCCTTCGGAGCCACCCAGTTGAGACACACAGACTCCAGGACCTCCGTGGGCCTCTCCCGCCTACAGCCACCCTCCCTGCCCCACAACCCCGGTATCAGGTGGCACCTTGAGTCTCCAGGATACGGGCTGGGATCCTCCCCAGCGTGGGGGGTGTTGAATCTCTGGGAGGGGCAAGAGCCCTCCTAGACACAGGCCCCGGTGCCATCCTCCAGTACAGGAGCCGCTGCTCATCTCTCCAGGCCAAGGGTCCCTGGACCCCACCCCAGTGTCTCACTGGCCAGCCAGAGGCACATGTCGGGGCCCCTTGACCTCTTCCCTGGCTGGGTCACCCAGCTGCCTACTGCCCTACTCCCCAGAAGCTCCGCCTCAGATGCAGTGATGCCAGGGCCTCCCCAGGAGGGCTGGGCGGAAGGGCCAGGAGCAGTGAGGGGCCTGCGCATGATTCCCAGCGTCCCACTCCTGCCTTCCTGGGGGTCCCATGACCCTACTCGCACAGCACTGAAGTGGCCCCTTGGGATGCACCCAGATGTTCTGCGTGTTCCCTATGCTTTATTGGAATGCTGTCAGGTCCGCGCCTTCCACATGGGCCCTCACATACAGCCAGGAGAGGCCCCAGCACCTGTCCCAGGCCCACCTGCCCACACCTGCAGAAGGGAAAGGCCGTCACCCTCTGTGGATAGGGTCTCGGCCACCACATCCACCTTCTGAAGGTGGCCCAGACACCTCCACACTGCTGGCTGCACCTCCCATTAAAGGGGATCTGGGGCAGGCAGAGGGGGCCGTCCCCCTACCCCCAAGAAAGGCACCCTCCTGGGCGGGGGCAGAGCTTGGCTCCATGCTGCCAAGTCAAAAGGTGCTGACGTGGAAACAGGCACATCCCACTGTCCAGTGGAGTCCACCCCTCCTCGGAGCATTCAGCCCACCAGGGTCCAAGCAGCCCTCGGGAAACACCACGCGCATGCCGCACACCCAAGTCTCAGCTTGGAGAAAGACGCAAAGACCTCACGCTCAGCTCTCGGGGGATGGCTTCCTGGGACCTTTGTGTTGGCCACTTTGCCCAGTGGCTTCTCAGCACCATGAGCCTCTGACCCCTGGCCTCTGACTTCAGGTCCAATTACAGCAGGTGGCTGTTTCGGTGACCAAGTCCCTCCATGGCAGCCAAGGACACCGGCCCTCCACACCGGCTACCAAGAGGGCTGGTGCCCACAGGGAGGACCGGGCGCCAGGAGGGCTCGCTGAAATCTCGTCCCATCCTGTTTCGCGGGTGGCTGAGTCCCTAGGGTGGGACGAGCACAGGGGCTGAAGGGCCCAGGTTGCTCCAGGAGCGCTGCAGACGGCGACCGGGAAGTGGGGTGACCAAGGAGCGTGGCCAAGGCCACAGTGATGAGCATGGTGGCGGGGGAGAGAGCACCTCACATACAAACTGCACGAGCTTCGGGTGCATGCACAGCTGGCCAAGGCCCAGGGTCACACAGGCTGGGCAACGGAGATGAGTCACACACGGCAGCACATCATCCAGTCCTCGGGGAGGTGAGGGTCGGCACGTGGCAGGCACCAGTCTGTAGGGCAGCCTCAGGCACCGCACACAGGCATCCCTGCTCAGCTCCTGAGCCCGGGGCTGTCCTGCCGGGCCACATCGCTGTCGTGCCCTCCTGCCTCAGGGCCGAGGGCCCACCCTGCGCTCCTTTTTTTTCCAGGGTGTTCCAGGGTGGCCAAGTCCCAGCACTGAGAACAGCTCAGGTGTGGGTGTGGCTATTGTGGGGCTGTGTCTGGTGAACTTGGTGGTTGGACAGTGCGGATGCAGGGAAGCCACGGAGGGTCACGACCGACGCAGGTTTGACAGCACAGGCCCAGGCAGGCGTGGACGTGGGAGCCGAGGGTGGTCGGACGGCAGTGTGAGCGCCAGTATCGCTTTTAGCGTTTCCATCTTTACCACTCCAGTTACTCTCTTCAAAAAGAAAGAACTAGAGCAAACCCAAAGTATCTCAAGGAGAAGGGACACCTCATGTCGCTGACAGCTCGGCACGGGGCTGGTCCCAGCCCCGAGATACTGCGTAGTGAACTGGCCGCCGGAACACTCACAGGGCTCTGTGCTGCAGCCCACCTCCCAGCAAACCACGAAGAGCCCCTGCCTTGAGTCCACGAATACCCAGGGGAGTGTAGGACGGGATGGCCCCCGCCCAGGCTGGAGAGCAGGCCGCTCCCACGCACCGAGAACCCCACGTGGCAGGCGGTGAGAACCTGAGTCTCCCTGGGGTCCTGCCTCCCGAGACGCTGTCCTCACACTGCAGTCGCTGATTCTTGGGTCAAATGAAAGGAGGAGGAACGAGGAGGGCAGAGTGCAAACATGAAGTCGCCTGGGGGTGCTGGGGACAGGGGCGCGGTGGGCCCTACCAGTTCTGGTTGTCCCAGCCATCGTCAGCGGGCACGGCCAGTGGCACTGCCTTCTTGGCACCCTCCCCGCCCTCCCCACCGTCGCTGTTGCTGTTCCTGTTGGTGGAGGCCGAGCCCCACACCTCCCAGCTGTCCGAGCTCCTCCTCTCGGTGGAGGTGTCTGCGCACGTCCAGCTGTCGCTGCTTGGGGACTTGCGGGCCTTGGTGGGCTCAGCACTTCCAAAGGTCTCCCAGAAACTCTGGTCTATGGTGCTGTTTTGGAAGTGGTCCGGACCGCTGTTCTGGTAACTGTGGCCCTCCGAGGGGCTTTTAAAGAGACAGAAGGGGGATTCTGAATGACTGTTACTCAGCCCACCACTGGGAATTCTGTGCCCCCGAGAGCTCTGCACCTGGACAGTGACCACCTTCCCAGGCCAGCGCTCGGGGTCCACAGCAGCCCCACCAGGCGGGAGCTGTTTCTCCCACTTCATAGCAGTGGAAACTGCTGGGGAGCTGGAGAACCAGGGCCCACTCTATCCATCACCCAAACTGCAGGATAGTTCTAGTAAAAACTTCTTTTTCTACCAGCTCCAAACTGCTGCGATAAAACAGTGGTTAAGTCAAGTCGGGAGGGGCAGGAGCACTGCCCTCAAGCTGGGACACAGGCTCTCCTGAGCAATACCCTCAGCTATGCCGGCCCGAACCAGGCCCTGCCCTGTCCTCAGCTATGCCGGCCCCGAACCAGGCCCTGCCCTCTGTCCTCCGCTACGCCGGCCCCAAACCAGGCCCTGCCCTCTGTCCTCAGCTACGCCGGCCCCGAACCAGGCCCTGCCCTCTGTCCTCAGCTACGCCGGCCCCGAACCAGGCCCTGCCCTCTGTCCTCAGCTGCAATCACATCACTGAAAAACCACACACACGGAGGGAAGAGAAGGGCGTCTCAGGGAAAATTTGGGCCCACCTAGGGGGCAGCGCATCTGTGCCCACCAGCATTGGCCTCTCAGTAGACAGCACAAGGCCAGGCCCTATGAGATCCCCTGTGGTTCCCTAGCTGGAGTCAGAGGCCGAGAAAAGCAGCCAGCTTCCAGTAGAAATGCCTGGGGTGCCCAGCGCTAAGGGCAGAGCTGGACATGGGGGCCAGGACAGGTCTCTGGGGCCCCCAGCCCTCCTGTCCCCGGCCCCCCACCTGCTCCACCCACCCAGAGTCTGGAAGACAGAGGAACAGCAGAGTAGGGCCAGCTCCTCCTACGTGGGGGCGTGTGGGTGAGACCTTCCCTCCCACCCTAGCCTGGGGAGCCCAGTCAGGGCAGAGACAGGCAGGACAGGCCTCTGCAGCTGCAGAGCACTCAGAGAGCCTTCCTCAGCGCCCCCCTCCCCTCCCCAGCAACGATGCCGACCACCTCCCCGACAGCCTGTGGGAGGAGTGGCCAAGGCAGGGGAGCAGGACGCAAGGCCCAGGAGGGGACACAGCGTACCTGTCCAAGGGGCCCTCTGCTTTCCCCGAAAAAAAGGTGGTGACGTCCCGCCATCCCTTACTACCGACTCCCTGGACCTGGAAGGCGATGGGAAGAGAGGTTAGGAAGGCTCTGTCGCGGCACAGGCAGCTTTGGGAGGCCCCCACATGCAAGCTGGCACACGCCATCCCGCTGAAAAGACCCGGGTAAAATCCAGAAACATCCAGAAACAAGGGGTGCCGCGCACACGCGTACAGACACAGACACGCACAGCCACGCCTCAGTGGCACCAGGTGCATGCGGGACATGGCAGTGAGGACAGCCTCGGGCACAGACCTCGAGAGCTCCCACCACGTGCTCGGGGGAGAGGACCGAGACCTGCTCTTCCCTCCCCGTCTGCAGAGCACCTCATGCCAGGAAACAGGACAAAATGCACGCCCCGAATGGCCCGCAGAGCAGCGAGACCAATGGCAGCTAAGACGGCGCTGGCACTTACCGAGGAAAAGGCCAGTGACAGCAAGGTAAGAGCAGGAGAAGTGACAGTTAGTGGCTGATCGGGCCGCAGTGGGCCAAGCTGTTTCCATATTCCTCGGGCCATCAGGCCGGGCGGCCCTCCTCCCATCTCAGAGGACAGCGGCCACTGCCAAGGCGGGCTGGGGGCTGCACGGGGCACACCCTGCTCTCATGCCCAGGGCCGTGGAATATGGAGACTGGCTTTGACTGTGCCCACACATGCGGCAGGCTCCCTACCTTGGACGCCAACTGAGAGACCCCACTGGACACATCATCAAAAATCTTTCCCTCCTTCACCTACATGGATTAAGACGGCAGCATTAATGGGGGCGGCAGAGATTAAAGCTTAAAGCTTCAGGAGTGCAAGAATCCCCAGGGTGAGGGCATCCAAAGTAACAGGGGCCTGGGGACACCCGTCAGGCTGAGCCCCAGAAAGTCCTACAGTGGCCCCAAACAGATTCCAGCATCAAGAGCCCACATCATTGCGAGGCCTGGTGTCTGCAGATATGGCCCCCGCCAGCCGCTGCTGACAAATAGCAACATGACCTGAGGACGCCCATGCTGCCCCGGGGGTGCCTGCCCTGCTTGTCCCAGTCAAGCCCCGAAGGAGGCAGGGAGCTGGCGGGGCTCTTGACCCCCGAGGATAGTGGGCATCATTCCCGTACCAGAGCCTCCTCTGGGCACAGCTCCAAGGCCCGCTGTGGGGGTGAGGCAGAGGACGGAGGTGGGCTGGGGTGCTGGGCTCCGGGGCCAGCTGTAGGGGTGAGGCAGAGGAATGGAGGTGGGCTGAGGGGCTGCAAGGGAGGCCCTAGGCCAGGGAAAGGGGTGAGCTGGGGGGTCTGAGAGGTACCTCTCTGAGTCCCAGCTGCTGGACAATCCCCTAACGTCCCTGACGCACCCACATCCCCCGGAGTGAAGAGCTCCAGGCACAAGCAGCACGTCAACCACCCGCAGCTGCCCATTACCTTCTCCTGCGCAGGCTTGAGGACGTTCTCGTTCAGGCTGTGGCCCAGCTCGGACGCCTGCAGGAAGGAAAGTCATGTGAGCCCCGTGGCAGCTCCACCGAGACACGGGTCGTCAGTGGCAGTCCAGGCCAGCAAAGGGCAGTGCGAGCTTCACCAGCAGGAAGGCAGGAAGGCAGCAGGATACAAATGCAGGGAGCAGGAAACAAGGCTTCGCACACAACACCTGAAGCGCAGTCGGTTGCCACATCTAGAAGGTGGAGACCGCGGCCCTCCCACCCCTATTCTCGCAGGAAGTGCCCTCAGGACGAGGGGGAGCTCCCTCCGGGGTCCTCCCTCACGGGCCACCATGCGGCCAGCAGGGCTGGGCTGGTGGGAACATGCCCTGTGCAGCCTGTGCCTGACGCCAACACCGGCTATAGCCACCCTGTGCTGACCTAGGACGCAGCTCCGCCTCCCCAGGCAGACACTGAGTCCCCCATGGAGGGAAGAGGGCACGCAGGCCGGGGCCACAGGAAGAAGCTGCTGAGAAAGGAGCTCAGCCTCTCCTGATCCTGGGTCAGTGGCGTTAAGGCCACCTGGGGATGTGGTGTGAGGCCTCCTCTTCCCCCAAAGGCAGGGAGCAGCACGGATCAAAGGCCAGAAAGGGAGGAACTCTCACAGAGCAAAGATCCTCCCCTTCGCACTGTGTTTGCGGGAGCGCAGGCGGCCGGGAAACCCGCTCAGCAGCTCGGCGCTCAGTGCCCGTGCCCTCCCTCCAGAGCCTCCCCAACAGCAAGCCTGGGTCGGGGGTCTGTGTGTTCTGGAGATGGGGGTCTCATTTAGTTGCCCAGGGTGGAGCGCAGTAGTACCGTGCAGGGCTGACAGGCACACACAACCAAGCCTGATGCAGATCCTAGATCTTAAAGGAGAGCCACGGACCGAGGCCAGGGAGAGGGTCTGAGCGTGCGCACGCGTGAGGTGACACCAGGCAGCAGCAGCACGGAGAGCCACGGACCGAGGCCAGGGAGAGGGTCTGAGCGTGCGCACGCGTGAGGTGACACCAGGCAGCAGCAGCAGCGGGACCGAGGCCAGGGAGAGGGTCTGAGCGTGCGCACGCGTGAGGTGACACCAGGCAGCAGCAGCACGGAGAGCCACGGACCGAGGCCAGGGAGAGGGTCTGAGCGTGCGCACGCGTGAGGTGACACCAGGCAGCAGCAGCAGCGGGACCGAGGAGGCCAAGCACACACTCGGCAGAGATGCGGGCTGCATGCACGAGCAGACACGGGCTTTACCGGCTCCGGCTGCTGCTTGTGACCCCAAAACTTTACCCGACAGCAAGGAGACAGGTGAGGAGAGAGCAAGGGGAGGGGCGGCATTAGTAACCAGCAGCGCCTTCGAACCCACCACGGGGCGCTGCAGCACTAAGGCAGCACCGGGCAGGCTCTCAGCAACACAACCCTGGAGCAGCCGCTCCCTGCCCGGGAACTGACCACCACCTGCAGGAACTGCTGAGCGACTGCAGCTCAGGACCCTGGGAGGCCTGCGGCAAAGCCAGGCAGGCGTCCCTGCAGCTGGGGGTGGGCACGTGGGGAGACTCCCTCGGACAGGAAGGGGGTGCTATGGGCCACAGGGGTGACTGATGGGCACCTTGTGAGAATGGACCCCCTCGCCCGGGGGCAAGGGCGTGTCCTAAAAAGCCACGCACAGCTCCACGCCTGCAGTCCTGAGCTTTCGTGGTGGGCCTCACGTGGGCACTGCCTCCTGGGTGTGATTCTGAATCCAAGGACAGCCAGACCACAGCCCTGACCACCAAGTGGGGACTGTGGGGCCCCCACCCACATCCTAAAAAATATAAAAACATAGGCCAGGCATGCTGGCTCAAGCCTGTAATCCCAGCACTTTGGGAGGCCGAGATGGGCGGATCATGAGGTCAGGAGATCGAGACCATCCTGGCTAACACAGTGAAACC